GATAAAATGGTATTTCTAGTCCGACAATTTCAATGTAAAACATTGAACAACTCTACCAAAGATAGTGGACTTTACTACGGACGAAGAGGATAGAATTAGTAACACGCTTAGGTCTCCTCCCTCACTTAGCAACTAAACACACCAGTGGCGTAGCGAGATCGGGTGTCACCCGGTGCGGCACTTAATGGTGTCACCCGCCAGAGGCGTTGCGACCCTTCCCGGGGACAAACTTTCAAGTTTTCAATTTGCACCCCCCTCAAGTTTTCGATTTGCACCCTCCCCCCTCTCAAACTTTCGATTTGCGCCCCCCCCCCCTCAAGTTTTCGATTTGCATCCCCCCTCAAGTTTTTCTCCATATATTTTGCTATTTTTTGCCTTGGTGTCACCCCCCTAAATGGTGTCACCCGGTGCGGTCCGCACCCCCCCCCCCTCGCTACGCCCCTGAAACACACCAACATGAAGTTAACAGACACTCAACTTTCTCACACTGCAAATTGTGCCTTAATAAAGTGCAACACAGCGCTATAAGAATGTGGACGTGCAGACATCGCTGTCACTACCCCCATCGGGTTCTTTAATGTATATCGATTCCTTTTATTTGAGGGTGAGTCATTGGACAGTAGGCACATTGGTAGTCATTGAAGATATGCACCCCTACTCTCTACCCTAGGTGTGACATTAACATATTGTTTTATTTTCAGCAAGCTAGTTTGACAGAAAAAGATATTTTCTCTATCCCCATCAAGCTAGTTTGACAGAAAAAATATTCTCTCTATCGCTAACAAGCTAATGTGACTAAAACATATTTTCTTATCTTCAGCAAACTAGTTTGACAGAAAAAGATATTCTCTCTATCCCCATCAAACTAATGTGACACAAAAAATGCTTTATATCTTCAGCAAGCTAGTTTGACAGAAAAAATATTCCCTCTATCGCTACCAAGCTAATGTGATCAAAAACATTTTCTTATCTTCAGCAAACTAGTTTGACAGAAAAAGATATTCTTTATATCCCCATCAAGCTAGTGTGACACAAAAAATGCTTTATATCTTCAGCAAGCTAGTGTGACAGAAAAAAAATATTCTCTCTATCCCCATCAACCTAATGTGACACAAAAATTTCTCTATATCTTCAGCAATCTAATGTGACACAAAAATTTCTCTACATCTTCAGCAAGCTAATGTGACACAAAAATTTCTCTATATCTTCAGCAAGCTAATGTGACACAAAAATTTCTCTATATCTTCATCAAGCTAATGTAACACAAAAAATGCTCTCTATCCCCATCAACTTATGTGACACAAAAAAAAATCCTCTATATCTTCAGCAAGCAAGTGTGACAGAAAAAAATATTCTCTCTATCCCCATCAAGCTAATGTGACAAAAAAATGCTCTATTTCTTTAGCAAGCAAGTGTGACAGAAAAAGACATTCTCTCTATCCCCATCAAGCTAATGTGACACACAAATTTCTCTTATATCTTCAGCAAGCTAGTGTGACAGAAAAAAATATTCTCTCTATCCCCATCAAGCTAATGTGACACCAAAAAAATTATCTTTACCTTCAGAAAACTAGTGAGTCAGAAAAAAATATTCTCTCTATCCCCATCAAGCTAATGTGACACAAAAATTCCTCTATTTATTCAGCAAGCTAGTGTGACAGAAAAAGATATTCTCTCTATCGCTAACAAGCTAATGTGATCAATAACATATTTTCTTATCTGCAGCAAACTAGTTTGACAGAAAAAGATATTCCCTCTATCCCCATCTAGCTAATGTGACACAAAACTTCCTCTATATCTTCAGCAAGCTAGTGTGACAGAAAAATTCCTCTTATATCTTCAGCAAGCTGGTGTGACAGAAAAAATGCTCTATATCTTCAGCAAGCTAATGTGACACAAAAAATGCTCTATATCTTCAGCAAGCTAATGTGACACAAAAATTCCTCTATATCTTCAGCAAGCTAATGTGACACAAAAATTCCTCTATATCTTCAGCAAGCTAGTGTGACAGAAAAATTCCTCTATATATTCAGCAAGCTAGTATGACACAAAAATTCCTCTATATCTTCAGCAAGCTAATGTGACACAAAAATACCTCTATATCTTCAGCAAGCTAATGTGACACAAAAATTCCTCTATGTCTTCAGCAAGCTAGTGTGACAGAAAAAAATATTCTCTCTATCCCCATCAAGCTAATGTGGCACAAAAATATTCTCTCTATCACCATCAAGCTAATGTGACACAAAAATTCCTCTATATCTTCAGCAAGCTAATGTGACACAAAAATTCCTCTATATCTTCAGCAAGCTAATGTGACACAAAAATTCCTCTATATCTTCAGCAAGCTAATGTGACACAAAAATTCCTCTATATCTTCAGAAAACTAGTGAGTCAGAAAAAAATATTCTCTCTATCACCATCAAGCTAATGTGACACAAAAATTCCTCTATATCTTCAGCAAGCTAATGTGACACAAAAATTCCTCTATATCTTCAGCAAGCTAATGTGACACAAAAATTCCTCTATATCTTCAGCAAGCTAATGTGACACAAAAATTCCTCTATATCTTCAGAAAACTAGTGAGTCAGAAAAAAATATTCTCTCTATCACCATCAAGCTAATGTGACACAAAAATTCCTCTATATCTTCAGCAAGCTAATGTGACACAAAAATTCCTCTATATCTTCAGCAAGCTAATGTGACACAAAAATTCCTCTATATCTTCAGCAAACGAGTGTGACAGAAAAAGACATCCTGGACAGCTTGCCAGATAAATCGACTACGCTTGACACAATGCTCATCACCAAAGTACTCAGCACCAAGGGTACCAACAGTCTCGGCCATTTTGAGGTCCAGTACATATTTGACCCGCAGGCTATGCCCTTCGTGGATGAGTGAGTTTGGTTAAATCATTTGGGTGGATTAATTTCGTGGATAACTTTGGTTAAGTCATTTAGGTAGATTACTTTTGTGGATTAGTTTGGTTAAATTATTTTGGTGGATTACTTTCGTGGATAAGTTTTGTTGAATCTTTTGGGCGGATTAATTTCCTGGATGTGTTTGGTTAAATCAATTGGGTGGATTACTTTTGTGGATACGTTTGGTTAAATCATTTGGGTGGATTACTTTTGTGGATAAGTTTGGTTAAATCATTTGGGTGGATTACTTTTGTGGATAACTTTGGTTAAATCATTTGGGCGCATTACTTTCGTGGATAAGTAAGTTTGCTTAGATTGGTTTCTTTTAGTATAGTTTTTTTTTTTTCGTTCTATTTTTTTTAAATATGATTTAGTTCTTATTACATATATCTAATTATTTTCAATTTTGATCGTAGGTTTTATTTTTGTTTTTAATCTTCTATTTTTAGATTCCATTCCGATTTGATGGAGATCAGCAAGATCATAAAAGAAAGAAACGAAACAAGAAATCCCCAGTATGGCTACCTGGATCCGGAGTACATCCCCAACAGCATTAGCATTTAGATTTAACTCCCTTGCTATATTGACACTGCTGGTAACAATGACTGAGGCTTTAACTTTAATTCATTACATTACAGGGATTCTCATCTTTTCGCAATATTGACCTATTGAAATTATCAAGAAAGTAAGGATGTTTTGTTGTTTTGAGTTTGTATGCATTTTCTAATTCAAGGAGATTACATTTTTCACTTGTGGAGAGACTTTGAAATATTTTATTATTATTGTATTATTGTATTATATTTAATTATATTTTATTATTAGTAATCTTACAATAAACTTGTGTTCATTGGGTGCCAGCTTCTTGTTACTTTTTGTACATATTCAGTTTAGGTCTGAAATTATGAAGCTAGAGAACTTTGGGGTCATCCATAAATGACGTCACGCTTTTTTTGACGATTTTTACCTCCCCCCTCCCCTCCGTCACACGTCGTCACAAAAAGCCAGACCCCCCCCCCTAAAATGACGTCACACCTCAACCTACAACCCCCCCCCCCCCCCCTCAAAATTGCAATTGAATTTTTTAAAAACATCGATATTTTTCCAAAATCTTGTCTAAACTATTACAATTTATTAAAACAGTTATCTAAAACGCGAAATAACGTCTAAAATTCGTTTTCTAACATTGCTTTTTACTTTCTCGTATATACGAAGTATAGAGAAAGTATTGTAATCGTGCAAAAAAAAATCGAGATTTTTACAAATCTCGACGTTTTACACCTCACTGATACGGAAAAAACATAATTTTGCAATCTTGTCCGTATGTCTGTGTGTCTGTCTGTATGTCTGTCTGTCTGTCTGTCTGTCTGTGTGTAAACACGATTACTTGAGTACCGTTACAGCTATGTTGATGAAATTTCATATATAGGTATTTTATCAAAATCGTAGATCCGTATCAACTTTTGAGCGATTTCCGACAACCGGAAGGGGTACTTTTTCTACTTTGAATTTTTCAAAAGCCTATAACTTGAGTACTATTTTAGATAGATACATGAAATTTCACATGTTAGTAAAAGATCTAATTCTCTACCTTCTATCAAATTTTGAGTAATTTCCGATGACAGGAAGTACTAATTTACGCTATTTCCGATTTCTCAAAAAACGCATATAAATTTATAAAGAACTAATAATATTGTTTTTTTTCTACTAGATTTTATTCTATTTTTAAAAGTTTAAGTAAACAAAAATCATGTTTATATTCCGAGTTGCCATCCCACGTAGTGTTATATTAGAATATTCGAGAAAGTTTAGGGGAGATCACTCCCGGTTTATTTATAATGCAAAAATGTGACGTCGCAACATCTGACCCCCCCCCCCCTCCCCCCTCATCACACATCGTCACAAAATTACGGACCGTACGAGTGTGACGTCATTTATGGATGACCCCTTTACAGTTCCCGTGAAATTTTCTTTTTTAATCTATATACACCCCAAGATTAGAACAAGAAAAATCCCTTCCCACCCCCCCCCCCCCCACCCCCTTCCCGATTATATTGTGAATAAGGACCCTAAATAGAACATAGAAAACAAGTTGTGATGTAAAATCAGATCCAAAGTTTTTTACTTATTTACAATATTAATTTTAATATGAATTTTTTTTAACACTTTTGTGGTGTTTCCCAAGACATTTTTTTTTTAAATTCTTAGCCTCAGAGATATTTTTTTTAAAAACATTTGGTTGGAGAGGTTTTTACTATACTTTCTTCAAATCCATTGTTTTAGATCACAGCCGTTCGGCTTAACTTAACAATGCCTTTGTTTTATTTATATATATCTACTTGATTCAATAAATTTGTCAACACAAAAAAAAATGGCTTTTGTAAAAAAAAATTGTACAATTTTATGGCTTTATCAAACATAACAACGGTTCAAAATGTTTGTTCATCTGCTAAATTTTCATTTTAAAATGCTCAACATTGAAAAAAAACTAGTCTTAAATTCCCTTAAGATGAAGTGGTAGATTTTTCTTATTCCATTCAACATTGAAGACTGTTGGATTTACTTTAACCCTTTCACTGTTGTCACTGTGGTTAGTCAATGGTAAAATGTATGTGTATGATGTGTATGTATTGTAATTGTTTACTATCCAACAAAATAACAGAAAAAAGTGCAGTAACATAGAAAAAGAATATAAATTATTTACCCATTTTGGTTAAGGTTTATAACTTTCTTTGACCAACCCAAAGTCATGTGTTTAATTTGGCCAGATTATCCAATAATTATCTGTCCAGAAATAAAGCTGTTCTTAAAGTGACCAATACACAAGCAAGAGAGTTCAATGTATTCAAATTATCTGGGAATTCTGTCAAACACTTAAAATTTAAAGTTAGTCTCATAAGTTACATAATATAATTTTAAAAAGTTAAGTAACCTTTAAATGCTATTGGGCATATGAAGTAGTGTTCACCGGTTTCAGAGAATAGAAAGAATAGTGTGATCAGCTCTATGTCCAGTTGCCTTTACCTTCCCTAATGTAAGGTACCCAACAGAGATGTCCTAAGGACTCAAACCCAAGATCTAAACTCAAACACTCTACTGTCTAACCATGCTGTCCCTAATGCAATTGTAGTTAGCAACAAGGTTTGTTTTATTCCAACGTGCCCCTAGCATTACACGACAGCAGAACAGAACTGTAGTAGTGGCAAAGGTATATTCATCAATTTTATGACATGACCTGCTAAAAAATATTTCTACTGGGTAAAAATTCTCAGGTATACGTCTTGCACACAATGTGCCATTTTCAATAAGAACAAAAAAACAAGAAATCAGCAAAAAAGCACTTTATTCCGTAGCTCTAAGGAAATTATTATGTCATATTTAAAAAATGACACAATGCATCTAAAAATGTAAGATAAAGACTAGGAAATATTTTAAAGATGAATGGTTGTTATTACAAAGACTAGCAAATATTTTAAAGATGTATGGTCTGATCTTTAAATTTGAAAGACTCCAAATTTCAATACAGTTGTGAACAGTAGGTAAATAACAGTGTGTGTAAAGTTACATGTACAAAAAATATGTAAATGTGTATTTCATTTTTTCAGAACATTTTGTAAAAAAATTGTTTTAAAAATATTGTAGCAAAATAGATTGTCAAAAACTGGCATGAAGGAAAATAAATAACTGTACAAAGTTGGAAGTTAGCTTGATCAGATTTCAAAGGGCAGTGACAGAGGATCAAAATCATAGTTTGGATTTGATCGCAAAGTAGTATAATACTTATGAAACAATAAAGTGTTATAAAGTTATCATTGCATGATTAATACACAACTCTTGTAATCCACAGCATTACAATATAGAAACAGAAATATAACTTGAATTCTTGCTTCAAATAATCACAACCCATTAGCAACAATTCTTAACAGAATTAAAGCATTCTATTACATTAAAGATAGCGTAATTTATCCGCATCATTCCATCAATTTATCACAAACCCTAACAGCAGCATAAACAGTCTGCAGAAGTCCCTAAGTTCTTCACAACCTTCAGACGTGAGCATAAATTGTACATTGATTGTACTCCATCACAACAGAATTAAAACTCATACAACAAAAATAAATACAACAATCTATACACCTCTGTTTGCACACGTTCTTTTTACAATAAAAATATATAAGAAAAAAATTTGCAACAAAAAATAATTAAAAAAGAAAAATATCTACCAATCAACTATAGTAAATGTTTTCACCTCTAGTAAAAAAAAGAAATTTAAAAAATAAATAAAGCACTAAGTTTGAAACAAGTTAATTTCCTAAGAGAAATGACAATAAAAACAAAATTTTAGAAAGCACATCAATAAAAAAATAAAAGATGTTTAGCGGTCTCTGGAAGACAAAGCAAACTGACACAGCAAAACTACCAAGCCGACGCCCCCTCACCAAGATCCATCACAACAAATATCACAAAATATCCAAGTAAAAAGAAAAAACTAGTGACTAGTACATCTGACTATGTCGAAATAATTAAAGCACAGCAAAACAAAAGCACTGCACACTAATAAGATTCGCCTCAATCTAAGTTACAAAAAGTTAGAAGAAGAAAAAAAAATATCACCAACAAATATGAACATCTATTATAGGAAAAAGTGCCAAAATTTTTACAAGAGTGCAGGGTAGAACATCATATTCAAGAACTAGTTTTATATTCATTCTTATAAGTCATATAACATTCAAGGATGACTGAGCATTCTTGATCAAGATTAATGTCCAGTTTATATTTTTAACTGCTTAGAAAAAAAGAAGAGTTGCCATTTATTGCTACAGTTCCAATAGGAAATACATCCTAAAATAGTTAATAGTAACTGCTTAATTCAAGTTATCGAATAATCTATTAACAAAACAAGCACTGTTTATGAAACTATTCATGAAAAAAAAACTAACATCTAAATCTAAACAGCAAAAGCAAATTTTAAAATTTCTTCAAAAATACCAATCTTCACTGATAAATTTTACTATTTAACTGATTTCCCTTTGAAGCGATTGGAGAGACGAACAGGATTTTTTCTATGCAAATCTTGATAGTGAACATTTTCCTTGTCTTCGCTGCTATATTTAGCACTATAGGCTTTACCCAGTGGAGGTTTCATATTCTCTCCTGTCTGCTGTCCACCAGCGTGCCCATCCGTCCTCGTCCCTCCATCACCACTGTTTCTCTGTTTGAGTACTTTCTTAGAAATCTTGTTAAAGAAATTGGACAGCGCACCCGACTTCCTCTCACCTTTTTTGCCATTGCGCACGAACCCACACTGCTCAGTGTTTGCGTTATCAGACCTCGGAAGCTCGATTGTCGGACCAGCGACCAGCGCTACGGACTGCGGATAACGTTTGGCGCCAGCCTCCAGGTTTAGCGTGGCCAGCATCAGTGAGCTCTCTGGTATGGCCAGGGTGGCCGGCAGGTTGTCCAGGCGTATTTGCTCTTGGTACCTGTGAGATAGGTTGTAACTGTCAAGTGAGATACGGGTGGCTCCAGGTGTCCAATAGTGTTAGAGAACACAGTGGGAATACCCGCTGATTCGCAAGTTTCCCACTTGTTTACAGATTTTTTTTAACTAGACTATAGGTCAAAGTTACAAAATTAAATATTTGATTTATAAATTTATTTTTCACGAGGCTCAAACAAACTGACAAGTAAAAAGATATCATAAAATATTTATAATCATGCTGAAAGAGAAGCTTGCTCGAGATGGTTGTCAAAATTAAACTGATTTTGTTACTGTTACAGTGGGAAAATTTAAATAAATTATTATAACTTAAATTTATTTAAACAAAAAAAAAACAATTTTTTAGGGTTGCTAATCAACTGAAAAAATTTGGTAATATTTATAAAACTACTTGCATTTGTTATAAAAATATTTCAACCATTTAAACTAGTCAAATTAATTTACAATGAACCTCGTCAAGTTCACTGACCTGATCCATTTCTTGGTGACATTGATAGAGTCCGCTAGATCACTGCGACTTCTATAATGGCTTCTTGATCGGTATGATGCAGTGTTGGTCAGCTGACCCTGTATGGACATCACAGGTGGGGCCACACCAGCAGCAGTGGATGTCAAGCCATCAGGTAAATTTTTGACTGTAAGAAGGAGTAGAAACACCGGTATATTATGGTTGTTATACCAGCCAAGTAAAGTACCATTTTTCTCCCCTTACTTTCCGTAAGGCAGAGAATGGTAAGATCATGTTTCTTTAAAACCTGGGTATCTTCTTCTTCTTCATTCTTTATTTTTAGTGTTGGAAGGGATTGAGCCTTATCTGCCAGAGGGTTTGAACTCGAGACTTTTTCAAATTTATCAACCATGACTTTTTAGTCGACTCGAACACGCCTCCATCACAATTAAGTATACGTGTCAACTGGTTATGCGCCATTGAGGCCATTAACTCTTTGTCCATCCAAGAACAACCTATAAGGCAGCAGTTGTTTGATTTTGGAGTTGTCTCTCCTAGAAGAGTGGCTGTCCCCAGCTAACGAGCCTCATCTACCCGGGGGTTCGAACTCGAGACTTTTCGGTTTAGCAACCATGAGCTTTTACCGACTCGACCACGCCAACCCCTGAACCTGGGTATGAAGGGGTAGTGTGGACAGTACAACACTCAGCCACATTGACATACTTTACTCAACTAGTTAGGTTCTCATTAAGGAAAGGTGGATTTTGGGATTTTATTTTTTACAGATTCCAGCCTGGGAACCACACCCCAAGCTTTTATGTTAGGAATCTTGTGCTCTATAACCTGACTTTGTATGCAAACTATGTGAGATAAAGAGATAACAATCTTACAATTTTAATTTAATAAATTTTTAGTGAAGGACGCTATTTTAGATTGAATCATATGTTGTGTCCTTTTGTGAGATATGTATCAAATAAGTCAAATCTTTACCTGAGCTAGTGACCATCTTAGGTGCTGTAGTCAGCGCAGTAATTGTCAGGTCTTCATCATAAGCCTCACTGGAGGGTCGATTCATCATTGGTGTTCCTAGCAAACTGATGTGGGACAACTCCATGGGGTTTAGATCACGATCAGGAGTTGTTGTTCCTGAATTGATTCCCTTGCGTTGTGCAGGAGAATTTTTGATGACATCAGGCGGTGGGATGGGTTGAGAAGCAGGCACTAAAGTTGGTTTGAAATTGCCACGGTGTAACTCAGTCAGAATTGTGTCCATCAAGGGTTTTCTTTCCTCCACCATTGAAGAGCTAGCACCTTCAAAAACCCAGACAAAATTTATCTCAAGACTAACAAACAAAAAATTTTATAAAATAACTGCATTCTGAAAAACGGTATCAACGTTAAAAATATTAAAAAGAATTTGCATTGCAATTTTGTAAAAATGGTAAGAAAATGTAAGACTATTACTTAGAACAGCACTAATGTACTTAGTCATTAACTAAAAATACCAACTTTGAAAGTGATAAAATGACTAAAGTTATTACAAAAGTTTCAACAAGTAGCTGAATGAAATACAACAATTCACTCCTCTCTTTACATAGTTTAAAATTAATTCAACACAAATATTTTAACTGGGTTCCTTCCCTTAAGTCTATTTTGGATATACCTGCATCAAGTCCAAATTTTAGAGCAAAATGCTTTGACCGTATTTGTTGAATGAACATGTTTGTATGTTTCACAGCCACTGACTTTTGTTTCTTCATTAGCTCCACCTCCTGCAAAAAAGGTTTTTATAACATTCATCATAATTTAAACGTATTGAAAAAGTTACTTGATATAAGTATCATAAAATAATTTTATTTAGTTACATTAAAAACAAGTTAAAAAAACAGGATTTTTTTTTCGTTAGTGAGTGAATTTTTTTTTTAATAAGCATTGGTAACAGTAAATTAGACGTAGTTACCTGTCGACATAGTCTCAGTTGTTTGAAAAATTCAAGCAAAGTCTGAAAACAGTGCTGAATTTCAAACGACTCAGCCTCACAAAAGAACTCTGCCAGTCTCTGAGACAGGTGCTTTAGTTCTGTTATTTGTGATTGAAGCTCTCTGAATGCAGTTTTTACTTCCTAGTGTAAAAAAAGAAACTTTTTAGGGCCTTTGTTTACAAATGTTTCCACAAACCACACTGTAGATCTGCTTTTAGTGGGGGTGGGAATCTGGGTATTTTGTGCATCATGGTTGTAGGTTTAACACAAATTTTATTGTCTATTTAACAGTAAACAAAACAGAATACTGTTTTTGTTTTACCTTTTTTTGGAGAATTGTAATATTATATTTACAATTGATTACTAGTACTAAGTTCTGTTTTCAATTTTCTTTATCTATATTTATGCAGCTATAGGTGGACCTAAAAGGGATTTGTGGGTCTTCCCCAGGTCCAATCAGAAAGGCCAGGTCCAGTTATACAGCTCATCCATTCCCAAACTTACATAACAATTTAGAAAGATGCATAATGTACTTGAAAGGAAGGAGGTGGCTTTTCATAGATTGTCATTGATATCTTAAACAAAGCTGAAAACTCACGGACTTAAGACAGATGTATCCACAACAGTGACACTAAAACTTACCTCAAGGAAGGTGGAAAACTGATTCCTGTTGGATGGATGACTTAAGACGGATGTATCCACAACAGTGACACTAAAACTTACCTCAAGGAATGTGGAAAACTGATCCCTGATGGATGGATGAGCGGCAGCAAGATGTCTAACAAAGACGTTGATGTGTGTGTTCATTTTATCAAAGTCTGCCTTAATCTGAGAAGGGCTGGAGCTAAGGACAAAATTAGTTTTTAAGACATTTTACTTGCTTCTATCATAATATTTTCTTTAAAAAAATTCTTTATCTAACAAGAAACCAATGAGAAAAAATTATCCACCAACCTGGCAGCTTTTTCCAGCTTTGGAATCTCACTGAGGAAGTTCAACAGCTGATCATCGCTGGACTCAACCAAACTGACCAGAAAGTGGACCAAATTGTGTCCAGTCTCCCTAGACTTGACCTCTGATAGCCTCATTAAACTGTCAATTTTGTAGCCACAAGCATAACCATTATACTGGCCCTAGAAAAGAAAAGACAACATTTTTTTAAAGCCTAAAAAGCCCATTTGTTATGCTGATTGCAAATCAATTTACCAGTATTTACCAGTCATAAACTGGTTGCTATAAGCCTGTATGCCAATGTGAAAATTGAGTTTTAAGTTGGAGAATAAATATCACCACAATATAGACAAAAATGTATGAATTCAGTAAGTGATTGTTTTAACTACTAACACCATATAACCAAAAATATTCTAGGGGGTGATTAACTTGGAAAAAGTTGAAAGCAATTATAGAAAAGTAATTTGTGCTACAGAGAAGAGGTCTTTTCTTTTATATGCTATTTTATTATTGCACACTTTTAATTTTCCAGATTTATTAAACCACATCCAGCATTCCAATGATGAAGATATTCAATGGGTACAATAGTTTTTTCTAAGAAAAATTAATGTGTAATAAGCAATAAAATTATTAACTTAACTAGATAAATATAACAAAAAAAGTTGAAAACAAAAATTTTAAAACTTGTAATTTAATTCTGTAATAAAACAACAATAACACCATGCAGCAACTAGACTTACATGATTTAGGAAATTCCCAATGCGTAGGATCAGAACAAGGACTTCCTTGAGTCCTTCACTGTTTAGGATAACTCTTGATGTCTCCATCATACTGGCCAGTAGAGAGCTCACTTGTGGAAGTGTCACAGAGAACTCGGCTCGTCTCAAGTGACCCAGCAACAGGGTGTAGTAATCAGGGAGGTCAGCCAGATGCATGACAAACTGCTCAGCTTGACCCAAGTCCAGTAGATTGCCATTGTAATACTTCAGGTGCTTTATCTGCAATAACAATTTATTTTCATTTTGAAAATTTAATTAAAAGTACAGTATCTGGTAGATCATTGAATATAGTGAAATATAATGCTGAATAATTCAATCTTAGCAAATAAATATTTTTTAAGACATTTTTTTTAACTTGGATGTATATTTGGTATATATTGTCATCCAACTGGTAGATAACTGAATGTAGAGCAATATATTTTTTAATACTTTAATTTTTTTAATTTACCCTTGAAATTGACTATTAATATTTTTTACATGTTATTTTACAAAGAGTTGCATCCCTTCGCTTATGAAAATAGTCTCCACTTTGTGGCATATTATTTATATTGTTAGCCAACAGACTGGCCAGGGCAATCCATACCTCATTGCTGTCAGGTAAGATATCCATCAAGTTTTTAATGACATGAAGTGGGAGACCAGACCCATCACCACAGGCAAATTTCTTTATCAACTCAGTTGGTTCCTCATCCAGGCGATTCAGGAACAGATTCAGGCAAACCCTGGACTTGTTGCTCAACAGAGGGACCTGTGGACAAAGATTTGTTTTAAAACAAGGAAATATTAAATAATCTCTTGCAAACTCTAAATTGGAGCTGATACAGTAGAGTAAGAAGTACCACTGATAAGTTAATCTACAAAAATCATAAACCCAAATATATTAAATGTGAATGTCAGTCTTGGTAGTAATAATATTTTCACAAAGACTCAGATCATTATGTAAACCAAGCTTGGTCTTGGCAATATTTAACCTTGAACGTCAGACAAATCAAGCTTTGTCTTGGTAGTACTTTAACAGAAATCATATATTTATGTTGTTTTTTAACTATGAACACTAAAAGTGTTGAGGATATAGCAAAATTTCCATCCAAATCTTGCTAAAATTAACAACTGCAATATTTTTTACAGAGATCATGTCCCTTCCATGTCCCATATAAGAACACAATACTGTAAGAACTTACATCTGTTCCATCTGAAGTTGATTTGTCTCTAAACAATTCTTCCATCTGTTGAAAATCTGGCTGCACTTTGAACTTTGAGACATCAACATTGGACCAGATGCAGTGGGGATATAACCCTGTAATACACAAAAGTTTAAAATGTCAACTATTTTTTCTCTACATTTACTAACTAAACTATTTTTAATTTAATTTATTTCAATGGTTTGAAGCAATAATTGAATGTGATTACATGGAGGCTTTGAAAAAGTACAGACAGGATGAGAATAAACTGGACAAAAAAAACAGAAATCCAACTATTTTCTTACCAATGTCAGACTGGTCTAGCTTGATCCACTTTAAGTTTCTCATTGGGTTAGCTGGGAAAGCGATACGATTACGTTGATAATTCAGGTAGTTGCAATGTCCATGTGGGGTTCTTGGCTGGTCAGTAGGATCTGGATTTTTTAATTTATCTCCAATTAAGTTCAGTTTTGGTGTGTTTATTTTGTTAAGAACAATTTTCTGAACAGGCGATATCTTTGACTCCTCTTTGATGTCATGTTTTAAATTTGGTCCAGAGTTTTTTCTCCGTGTTGAAGGGGTCGACTGCCTTGGTGGTAGTTTATCAGGTGACATGTTGTCGTACATGCTGACATGCCGGGTGTTTGTTTTCAGAACGCCGTGACTGTTTGCTCTTTTTCTGGTGCCATAACAGTTGTCGGCATTGTTGATTCTGCCTGTGATTTCTTTCAAGTTTCTGTCATTAGGACTAGTGTCTGTGTTGTAGCCTTGAGGGCTTAGCTTGTCTTCGCATCCGAGATAACCCGAGTCAGCAGAGGTCTTGGAGGATCCACTCTCTCGACCAACGCATGAGGAGGATGTCTGTTTGTGGAGGGTTTTCTCAGTCTCGCTCTGGCACCTGTGTTTTCTGGTATTTTGTGGTGTTTCCCGACATATAGAAGGCACTTCATTTTTTCCAGTGGCTGATGTGAGCACTTGGCAAGTTACTTCTGTATCCCAAAGGGTGTATGTGTCAATGTCATCAACACAGTGAACTAGATGATGTGTCTGTCTCTCAAGTAACTGCCACAACATTTCACTGAAAGTATAGATAAGTAGCTTTAAAAGGATCAAAAACTGAGAATAAAAAAACCAGGATTGGAAGGCTAACGAAACATTTTTTTTTTAAATTGAGCTTAAATCTTTTTATACATTAAAAAATGGCAACCTTTTGGATTTTTGCTGCATTTCAATGGCCAAAAGATCTTGAAGAATATTAACAAAGGACACCATCTTGGGGCCTCCAAACACCTAAATAGAATAAAAAACACCAATAAATAATAGAGGGTCAATACTATTTGTATGAGAAATGATGAAACAAATTTGTACTAGAACTAATGAAACAAATGCATTGTGCAGAACATCTTTTAAAAAAAACTGTCTGATAATTTTTTTTAAACATCAAAATGAAAATTTTTTAAAATTATCTTTTAACACCCTCGTCAATGTTCCTCACTGTTTGTTTCTTCTTAAAGTACTGATTTTGGCAGAGATATTTCCCTTCTGTTAAGTCTAAAGGGTTAAAAAAATTAAAGCTTCTACATTTTGAGTTGTCTACCTTAGACTGGATGGCATCAGCTAAATCTTGTGGGGCATTAAAGTCTAAGTTCGCTGCCGGATCAACAGTTGTCTCATCTTCATGCTTTTTGTCTTGAAACACCTGCAAAATTTTAATACATTCATCCTAACTCTTTTATCCAGTAATATAAAAAATAATATTCCATCACCAGTTAAATGTTAATACTAAAAGAAAAGTACTTTGTTACCTGTAGCTGTGTATACAGATCCTCATCTGTATCTTCTCTCTGCAGGAATGAAAGTACATCCAACAGTGTTAATCCTGAAGAAGATTCATTTAGCATTCAAAAGTAGAGTAAATATTTCTATCTACAAAACTACTTACAATAATGAGATGTATTCTGAGAAGTATGATTTCTTAAAATAAAATATCTATTCACATTTAAAAGTAAAACAATTAATTAAAATTAACTAAGGAATATTCAAAGATGCTTCAGTCAAGGCACATACTGATCTAATTTTCAACATCTTGTGCTAATTTAAATTAGCAAGGGAAAAATGCTAGCCCCTGCAAACTTCTCTAACATTAATTGATGAAGCAATATACTTGAACATAAATTAAATAAATCAAAAACTTTAATATAAAATGTTACTATAAATTATAAATGTCTTAGATAAAAAATACAATAATTTGTTTTTCTTAAGGGTAAGATAGTTTTGAGCTGAGCATGGTCACTTTAATTTGCTACCATTTCTAAAATGTTTTAGTCAAACTTTATGAACACATTGAGCAAATTTTTCACTAACTAAAGCTTAACAAGAAGTTAAATAGTACAAACCAATAAATTCATTCCTTATTCGACATCGAGTTAATCTATCTGTTGCTGAGCAAATCACTGAATTAATCAGCGTAAGCACACATGTCTTGTGGGGGATAGTTTCAGCCATTTTTAATTCATTCACAATAAAACTAAAGCGATGATAGAGGTGTTTCATTTTCTGTAACATGCAAATAAGCGATAAACATGCAAAAAAATAAGCTGATTACTTTCTATTTTTAAACATGCTTTTTTCCCTATGATAAAACATAATAATAGTGGATCATGTATTTTGCTTTTCTTTCTCTTTGGTTTAGTATATTGAAATTAATGCCAACGCAAAAAAAATAGAAATAAATCAATGACAAAAAAAACATGCTAAAAAAAAACTTCTACAAAACATTTTTAAAAAAAAGATGAAATGATAATAACTTGAAAATCTTCATTTGTAACTACCTTGTATTTATCTAAAGCTTCAAGCAAACGTCGATGTGCCATTTTATTGTATACACAGACAGCACACAACAGTTCCATCACATGTTTTCTTGGCAAGGTATTTGCCAGATCAAACCCTAAACAAGAAAGACAACTTTACCTAAAGCCATAAAGCTTAGATTAGATACAAACAAGTTATCAGTATGAATTAAAATTTGGACATTTTTAAACAAAAATAAGCTAAAACTAAGCCTAAACATATTCAGTTATTAACTTTTTTTTTAACAATACCACCTAAAATTTGATCACTTTTAAGAATTTTCTTAACTATTAGGTCTAATTTAAATTCATGTTGTTTCAGCTTGTGTCAAACTTCTACTGTTTCTAACAATTCAAAAGTAAAACATTTTCTGAAACTGCTTTTGGATTGGTTCATAATTTCATGATTTCTGCTACAATATAGAAGACGGTACTAATATACATACCTATCTTAAACGTTAAAAACAAAACTAAGCCATTTTGAAATGAAAATGACTGGTAGTTTTCTAGATATTTATTTTTCTAGAACCCTAACAGTGATACAAACAAGAGAGAACCTGAATACAATAATGGAACGGGGCATAAAAGTACCCAAACTTCCAATAGACATAAGCAACGGGATTTGTACAAAAACTTAGTTTTCAAACAGTTGAAATTAACAAAAAAAAGTTAATGTAACATATTTTGTCTTGAATTACCTCTGAGAAGTTTATAAATACCATCCCTGCTGTTGACAAGTGTATCCATACCCACACGTGAATTGAGCACAGCCCGAATGCATGAAAGACAATCAATCTGCAATATGGCATCTGAAAATCCAGAAAATTTGGAGCCTGTCATGTGACCCAGGGAGTCTAACAAACTGTCAAGGCCATCAAGAGAAATAAATTCCTGAAAATAAAAAAAACTGTAGTTAGTAAATAGACAAATTCATACTACATTTTCATTAAATCTCATCTTAAGCAAATTAAGTGAATAAACATATACAACTATAAAATTATACAACTATAATAGTTCAGTGTTTCCCTACAGATCATTGAAAACAAGATAGCTTACCATTAATCTAGAATTAAACATACCATATGTGGGGGCAATAAAATTAACTGTAGCCCATATTGATACTTGTCTCTCATTACTTTATATGTCATTAACAAGGTGTCATTTTTTTTTAATTTATTGTTAAAAGACTTAACTTGTTCAAAACAAGTTGTTTCCCTTTATATATTTTTAAAAATCTTTGTTGTATTTTAACTATGGACTAAATCAGTTTTTGATACTTCAAATTTGAAAGGATAATAAGGATAATGTAGTAAGTTCTATTTGCATGCTGCTTTGCTTCCCTAACTTGAGTCAGGTAGTTAAGGTAGATACCCATCAGAGCTGGGTGGACTCAAGGATGTCTTAAGCCCAGGATCAGATCCAGATTTATTTTATGTTTTATTATTAATTTACTAAAATTTATGCATTCAGACAAATATATTACAAATGATTAGTGCACAAAAAACACTTTGTATTTTTTCTAAGTATTTTATCCATGTAAATACTGTTGCAATGAACTTACAAAAAGAAAAATGAGGTTTTTTGGTAGGCAATTTATTTTAGACACTTAACAATAAAAAAGCAGGTCTTGGAAAAAACTATCATTAAAAAGCAAAACCAAACTGCGTGATTGAAAAATAACTCATTAGGCATTTTGCAAGTGTAAATAAAAATGTACTCACCTGTAACCAAGCTTCTGAACTAGACTCAAGACGGCTGCGAAGCGCATAATACACTTGTACAGATGGGGAATGTGAGTAAAGAACACAGGTTTTTGGCTCACAATCATCAAGATAATGCTCCATTTGTTGGGAAGTTATTGTTGCATTGGGGTCACTAATAGTATTCATTTTAGAATGGAAGTGTAGTGAAGGTGCTCAATCATTTGATTTTTTTTTTTTATATTTGCTGTGTAAAAAGAATGGATTACAAGTTAGGCTATTATAGCTGCCAATTGTTAAGGTACAATTTGAGTTTTAACATCAAATAATATAGACCTAGATCTAGGTAATATGTAGATCTAGATTCTAGGTCTATTAATTTTATTTTTTCTAAATAAACAGATATCTTGTCAAGATGTCCTATTTATTTGAATTAATTAGGCCTATTCTAATACTACAGTAGTCACAAATATGAATAGACATTTTGTTTAGGCCTATATAAAATAGTAATATAGGCAGGCCTGTGTCTTAAGACTCTAATGCAATTTTTTGTGTGATTCTGATTAGGCCCTAGACTAGATCTAGATTATATATGCCAGTGAAGGCTAGTTTGACTTTTAGTTTTAGGATGCAGGTAGCAGGTGTGCTACTACTACACACACTAAAAATGGATAAAGGAATCTAGAATCTAGATCTAGATAGATTTTTTTAGATATTAGATAGGCCTAGATCTAGTAGTTAGATCTAGTAGATACTGATAGGCCTAGCTTTAGGTCAATTAAATTAGGCTTAAAAAATGGCCTGAAAGTTGTGAAAGGTGACAGTCATAAATGAAGCATACAAATATTACAATGAATTACAAAATTACAATAGATTTAGAATTAGGTCTAGATCTAGATCTAGATTCTAGATCTAGATTTCTAGATCTATTATGAAATTCAAATAAGGCTACTAGATCTAGATCTAGATCTAGTCTAAATAATTTAATAAATAAAATTAACTTTTCTTTTAATTTTAAACCAAAATCAGTAAAATTAAAATGCAAATTAGACGACTGGCTTAGTTTGTAATTGTAATCTAGAAGATCTAGATCTATCTCTAAATTGTAGATTCTAAATTAGATCTATATTTTGCAATCGATCTTACCCTCTTTATACAACACAAACGTTGTAATATGTAACAATATCGCAAGACTTATGACTCATCCTCTTGCTTCTTTGAAATCCCCGCCATGCTTAAAATTTACCTGAGCCTCTATCTAAGCCTACCTAAGTAGGTTAAGCTATGCAAGGCCTAGTTCTTTTAGTTTGGCTGCTGAATTTTCTATTTCTTTTGTTATTTTAAACATAAACATGCGTTCAAACTCGAAAATAAGTTAAACTGTCGGTTAATTTTTACTGCTTAGATATAAGATTTAGACCAATGTCTAAGGAAACACATAATTTATTTCTAGAAAAAATGTGTTGTCTGTTTTACAAACGCATTTAAAATTGAGAAAAATAATTTTGGCCTAGGATGTGAAGAAATCAGCACGTCAAAAATGGCATGTTTATAATAATGCACCCCTGCCCACCCCCATTCCCACCTCTCTCACCTCGTCCAGTTAGTTATTTATATGCTCTCTTGTTTTAAATCAGAACTTAGATCTAGGTCTGTTCTCTATGAATAAAGATCTATATCTAAAATGTTTGATAAAAAGCAAGCTAAATGAATATAATGTATTGCTTAAAAATTTCAAAGGGGCACTTTAAACTTCCAGGGGAGAGGCCCTTAAAACTTAAAACGTCTGGGTTGGGGTACAAATGGTTAATTAATTGGCTTTATATTTCGTCCATGAGGGAGTGGATGGACGTGCACCGCGGGCAGGGGGCTGAGTGACATCATTTCTGACTTTAATGTGACGATGGGGCCAGAGTAAATTATCACATTTACTTTAATGCAGTGTTACGTCATGTATGGACGATTCCTAAAGGGACTGGATGAATTTAGCGTTTATTTTTCAAATACAAAGGCTCCAATGGAATGCAAGTACGCAACCTTGGAAGGTTAGGTTAAAGTTGATGCAGGATGTACAGATGATCGAGATACGGACATTTGCATGCACATTATTAATGACACGTCCCAATTTACCATCTTCAATAAAAAAAAATAAAAGTACAGGTATCATATGTTTTTAAAAAATGCAGACAAACTTAAATGTTGCGACAAGAAAATAAACAAACTATAGCATTATTGGGGGAACGGACGACACGTTTGAATCAGCGTTTGTTTCAGTCATTTTTCTCACGGAGGGAGGGTCACTTGAAATTTTCTGGGTGGGGAGGGGGGTGAAAGTACATATTTTCTATTTAAATTCTACTTTCGTTGGGGGGGGGGGGAGGTGGATCTATAGATCCTGAAGAGATGCCTGAAATAAACTCTGATTTGAATGTAACCTATTCCTCGGTCGATACAACAAGGAGCTTGTCAGCGTTGTGTTTCGTGGCTGTCAGCCAGATTGCCAAAGGCAATGTTTGTTTCCACGCTGCGCCGTGAACCAGCAGGCCAAGATAAGACTCATTTCACTGATTTCTTATCTAGACAAGCCGAGTCAATTTTCAACACCAGCGCGGACAACTATTGAGATACATTTCCTCATCCTCCCCTCCCCCTGGCAGCTCGGTAATCACTGGACCGTATCCGGAAGGACAAAGCTTACCTTGTGGCAACTTATCACCTAGCCTGGCTGACAGAGACAACCAACCCTCCCCGTCACCGATTAATTACTCGTATTCGCGGGCTGGATTTAGGGGATTCTTTGATATTTTTGTAATAGTATGTTACAATGTGTTTACCACACATGGCTCTACTGTTTGTCAGGCCATGCACACATTCACACAAATGGGCTGTAAATTACCTGATTCTTGATAGACTAGCCCATGTGTGATGAACAAGTAATATGTAGATCTAGGCCTAAATCTGGGATTGAAGGTTTTGAAGGTCTTCTATTTCTATAGTTAATTTCCGAGCTATTGTTCAACAACCACGCATTATGTTGTTATTACATAACACTATAGCCAGGAGGTGTAGCTGGCTTTTACCTTCAGCTTTTTTGCTTATAATGGATTGTGTATTTATACTTTCTTGTACTTTGTACACTGGATATAGACTCAGACTCGTGTAGAGAAAGTAATGTACTAATCGTGCAAAAGAAAAATCGAAGTTGTGACGCAATCTCGACGTTTTACTGTACACCTCCCAGAATCGAAAAAAGAAAACCAATCTTGTTTGTGTGTGTGTCTGTGTGTATGAGAACACGATAACCCGACTACCATTTCAGTTAGTATGGGCGAAATTTCATATACATGTACTGTAGGGCCTATAGGCTATAGGCTAAATATTAACGTAGATTTCCTGTAGCCGAGATGGTAGGCTACTTTTACTCCATTTCTCAAAAACTTTCAGAATTTGATATTTTATTCTCGTCATAAAGCATATTCTGAGAACCTTTCGCCTCTATGAATGTGCTTTCTCGAAAAGCTAACCCTTGTTTATTATTATTATTCTTGTGTATTAAAATATTTAAAAATCCACCCGCAGAGCTTACAATTACAATTGAGCAAGAGATAAAGCAAGAGAGGGGGAGATAACAGTGTATGGTGAAAATTAAATTTTTGAAGATTCAAATTCATGGTATAATTTTTTGTTGTTGTTAGCCCACCCGTATGGCCTACGCGGAGAGGGTGTAGATAACCGTCTCATGCCTCAATACTTTGAGACATAGATCCTTACAAATATTACGTGAACTTGCAAATGAACATTCAACATACACAACTTAAGCCACGACAATTCTAGTGTGCCAAAGACGGTGATACCGTAACAACCCATTGTCTTAACTTGCTTTAGGTTATTATGATATTAATAGGCAGCATGTGCACGTAGTTAGATTCTATCAACTGTTGTACGTGTTCGTTTTGGATCGTGCACATACACGATGAGGGCAGAGTGTGGTTTATCACTATCATCAGTTTGTTATATGGGGTAAAGATTACGGTAGAGAACAGTGTTTCTTCCAGACTTTTTACTCCGGGGGGGGGGGGGGGGGGATCGGACACTAGTAAAAGTGAATGTTCACTATATAAATTCCATCTCGTGGGCGGTAGACTTTCTTCAAGAGGGGGGTTGAGCCTCCCCCCCCCCCCCCGAAGAGATGCCTGGAAGAAACTGGTAGAGAACAGCAGTGGCGTAGCGAGGTCGGGTGTCACCCGGTGCGGCACTTAATGGTGTCACCCCCCCAGAGGCATAGAGACCCTTCCCAGGGACAAACTTTCAAATTTTCGATTTGCACCCCCCCCCCCCTCGAGTTTTTCTCTATATATTTTGCTATTTTTTGCCTTGGTGTCACCCCCCTAAATGGTGTCACCCGGTGCGGTCCGCACCCCCCGCCCCCCCCCTCGCTACGCCCCTGGAGAACAGGAAGTTGCAAAGGGTCATCGATAAAAGACGTCACGCTTTTTAAAATGAGTTTTACCCTCCCCCCCCCCTTAATTAACATTCAGCATACAAACCCCTCCTCAAAATTGCAGTTGAAATTTTCATTTTCTTAAAACATCGATTTTTCCAAAATCTTGTCTGCACTCTGCCAACATAATTTTTTTAAAAATCAATTTCTATTACAATTTATTTGATTTTTTTTTAAACGCGAAATAATGACTAAAATTATTTTTCTAACACTGCTTTTTTTTAAATGCAAAAGTGTGACGTCACATCATCTGAAAACCCCTACCCCTCAATCACAACCCCCCCCCCCCCCCTTCCCTCCTACGAGTGTGACGTCGTTTATGGACGACCCCTTAGTCATCGTCTTTAGGATTAATATGATTCTTCCTTATCAGGTGGTGTTAATTAACTTTTAGCACATGATCCAACCTTCTCAGTATTCTCAGGTGCCTGACGACTGCCGTATTAGTAGAGGTTTTTTTTTCTTAGTTAGAAAAGTTGAAGCTAAATCAAATGTGTTCTTTTTAAAATTAAACTCCTCATTTGAGATATTTGGCCAGGAAATTATCAATATTTGGTAAAAAAAAATATATTTTCTATATAAATTCAATTTTGATCCAGATACCTGGAAGAAACTGAGCCTACCCAGCCCCCCCCCCCCCCCCCAAGACACACAAAATTTTTAATAATATTAATAAAGACATGTTTACACATTTGAAGTCGAAGTTGGTTCATGTATTTCTGTGATCAAGGCAGATGATATGAATACAGACATGCATGTGTCCAACAAAAAAATTAAGCAACAGTGAGTACAGGGTACAAAAATAAATGTAAAAAAGGCTAATTTAATTCAAATTCAAGGATAATCATATTTATTTAAAATTTAATAATATAAAAAAACATGACTATTTATGGTACATAGTACATGCATAGTCTTATTAAAAGTAATGTCTGATTATAAATTATAGACTACATATTCATGTAGCCATATTTTAAATAATTTTAGTAAGCAAAATGAGATGTGATCTCACATTTGTGATTATATTGGGTGAAAAGTTACCTCTTTTAAGCCTACCAGACTGTAAATAGAGCAGATGAAGTAGAGTTCACCTGTTTCTGTGACCTATTTCAAAGGACAGTGAGGCCAGTTCTATGCTCACCCAATTTTTACTTTTCATACTTAAGGTTTCACTCTACTCTGTGACCAAGCCATCCATAGTAAATAGTAGGGTAAACATTACAATAAAAATATGTGAACTGGTTGTTATGTTACTCTTACACTTATTATTTCTAAAGGGGGTGATAGTTATCTCCCATGTATTTTCCATTACAACATGTAAGATTTATACCTCCTAATTTAAGTTTCAGGAATAATCTCAGCATCCACAGCTAAATAACTATACATCAACAGCAATCAATTTTTTCACAGCAATAAATTAAACAATTCAATAAACTAGGCCTTATTTAAAATAATATAAGGAAGAGTTTTCTCCCCCGATCTAAATGGGGATAATCTCCAAGCAGCACACCATGAAAATATTTCACAGCAAAGTTCACAGCCTCTTCTAACTGGCTTCTACAAGATGGATAAAACTGTAACACAGCCCTTCCATTGGGCTGTAAAACATGTCTCAAACTTCTAAAAAATAAATTCAGTTGTGTTTGGCTATCTCCATGGAACAGCCACTGTAAGAAAGATATACTAATAACTAGGTCAAAACTGCCTGCTTTAAATGGTAGTCCATACCGAAGGTCACATCTTAAAAGATCAGCAGCTTGATCTAAATATTCACAAGATTCCACATTTTCCAAGTAAACACTTTTGAAGTCTGAAAGTGATTGCAGATTTAAATCAACACCAATACACACATGGCCTAAACTTAAAGGCTGAATCATACTTAAACCGTTTCCACATCCAATATCTAAAATACATTTTTTTGGACGGGGTTCTTGGTTATTATTTCCACTGTTTACTACAGAGTCACTGAATTTCAAAGCCATTGAAACAAGTTCTTGTTGAATTGTCTTTGTTTTTTCAAATCTATAAGTCTGTTCTAAATTATTTCCTTTGCCTGGAAAATTAAAATAATTATTTTCAAGATTTGGTTCCAGCTTTGAAATTAATTCTGGACGTCTTTGAAAACCACCAAATAGAGTTTTTATTTTAAAATCTGTAAGTGTTTTGCACACTTTTGTCCCTAGTGGAATATTCACCAAAGAAGAAGTTGTGTTTGGAAATATATACATTTTGCGATCTAAATTGTGTAAAGATGCAAAATGTTTTTTAAATCGTTTAGTAATCAGGAAAAAATGCTTTACAGATAAGTCTATGTTTGTAATGTTTGGATTGCACATCAGATTGTTCACCCAGCATGCCATTTTTCCTAAAGATGACAAACAACAAATGATGATGATAATTAATGAAATAGCATGGCTACATTTATAAAAATAATTTTTGTTGTTGAAATATTTAGTTTTCGAAGACCCACAAGAAGGCTTATACTTATTGTAAAAATTATTGTAAAGCCTACCAATGGCACTGGACTAGAAAAATGTAGGCTAATGGCTAATTTTAATGATAGGCATACTAACACCTTGAGATATTCTTGAATTGGCATCAGAGATGAATGTATCTGGAAAGTTGAAAGAAGAAACCACTGCATTAGAAATAGAGTTAGTTAAAATAGAGTTACATATTTGTCAAAAACAGACATGGGGTCATTTTTTTTTTTACCTTCCCCCTCCCCTCCGTCACAAAAAGCCAAACACCCCCCCCCCTAAAATGACGTCACACCTCAGCCTACAACCCCCTCAAAATTGCAGTTGAATTGATATTTTTCCAAAATCTTGTCTGAACTCTGTCAACATAGAGTATTTTCATCAATTCCTATTACAATTTATTAACAGTTTAAAATTCGAAAGTATGACGTCACACCATCTGAACCCCCCCCCCCCCCCTCCCCCTTTTATGGACGACCCCAAAAATTTGGTTTTCTTTTACTTTTTAATATTTTAAATTTTAACTTAGGTCTAGTCTATGAAAATGTAAACAAACGTGGTAGACTAGCATTTGTATAGGCCCATAGGCCTAGATGGAAGATTGTATTTTGGTTACGTCATATGTGGGTTGAGCAGATGACAATTGCTACTCTGCTCTGGCAAAGGTCTACCGGTGTGATTATTTTAAGTTGCATCATGCAAACAAATGGGGGCTGCCATATTGAACAACTAAAAACTGTAATTAGGATGAATAATTAAACGAACTATAGGCTTAGAGCACTAAATAATTAAGTAAATGTTAATATAAATAGATCTATATATTTCAATAAAATATATAAGAGATCTTTATGATCGCCTTCGTAAAAATAAATATCGTTTAATTCAATATATTTTATGTAACAAAATGGTATGGTAAAGAAATAGTTCCCTTGGTCCCATCATTAGTGTTTTTATAATTCTTGCAACTAGGAAAATGGAGGACACCGATAAGAAAAAGTTGGAAGAACAGATAAGAAGTCAGGGTGAGATCGTGCGAAAACTGAAAGCTGAGAAGGCAGATAAAGTACAGGTAAAAACGTGTAGATCTAGATTCTAGAAATATAACTTTAAATGTATCTAAATCCAGAAGACCCAGTCCGGAAAAAAAAACACCTCACGACTCAACTGACCGACTCACGTCGATGATGACGTCGTGTGGTAAACTTAAACTTAAATTAAACTAAACTTAAAAAAAAATATTGTAAACTCACTCGATCTAGATCTAGATTCTAAACCTAGACTAGATTTTTAGTTCTAAATCAATTTATATGATTAGATCTATAGATTTCTGTAACATAGGCTTGTCCCTTGTTTAGAATAGTTTAGGATTTATGGGGGGGGGGGGAGGGAGGGAAGGGGTTCCCCCTCCCCCACAGACCCTCTAACTAAAGTGTGTAGAGCTACATTTGTGCATCAGAGGTGGTTGTTAGGGGTTGAGGTAAGAGTAATAAAATATAGTTGTAATGGAAAGGTATGTCATGCCATGGCTGTTAGCAGAGGCGGAGGGACCCTTCCCGGCGCCTGGGGACAAATTTTTCGACTTGCACCCCCCCTCAAACTTTTGATTTGCACCCCCCCCTCTAGATTTCAATTTGCAACCCCCCTTCAAACTTTCAATTTACACCCCCCCTCAAGATTTCAATTTGCACCCCCCCCCCCTCTTAAACTTTTGATTTGCACCCCCCTCAACCTTTCAATTTATTTTTCCAACCCATTTTGGCACCCCCTAAGGTCGGCGCCCGGGGACATATGTCCCCCCCCCCCTCGCTACGCTACTGGCTGTGAGTGAAAATAAACTTTAAATTTAGTCTCAAAATTAGTGCCTAACTGGATTAAATATGGATGTCAGTTTATTCCTTGTTCATGTTAAAATTGAAAATAAAGTAACTTTCAGATTTAGCAAGAATAGCTAGTTAGTAGACCCTATTAATTATCATTAATTTAACTAGCTTATACTTTATAGACATTCACTGCTGTGCTAAAACAAATGGTGTAGCGCTCTCGTGGACATCTGCCCAGATTTCACCTTTCCTATGGTGTAATGTGAACCACAGATGAACATGTTTTCCCCAGGCAACCGCACTCAAAATCTTGTCGACACTCCCCCCCCCCCCCCCCCCCCCCACATACGTCCCCACACCACCACCACAAAGACGAAGACAAAATTGCTTTACAGATGACTGATGGTATGACACACTACCTCGCCACTTATATTATAGATTAAAAGCTTCCAACCTACTCTACATGGTACAGTATGCACACACTGTGACTAGGCTAGGCAAGCTAGAGCTAGATCTAGGCGAGTTTAAGAGTTGAAATTGAAGCATAATTTCCCAGTTAGCCTCTTCCGACTCTACCAAATCAAGTTTTGTAAAGTAAAAAAGTAAAGTACCAGCTAGTATGTTAACCCGGGGATTCTGAAAAGTAAAAAATGACAATGTTTTAAGTATGATAAGTTCTTCTGCTAATGCAAGCTTCAGACAAAAAAAAACCCATGTTACAATAGGTTACTTTATTGCTCTGATGGCAAGCATAGAATTACTACTTCTTTAAGTCATACTTTTCTAGTTTGCCTCTGACAAAATATTCTTAAATGGGATGTTGTAGCAATGCATTGTAATGTAACACAATGCAACTCACCACATTAACTCCAATTCACCTTAAATATCTATACAAGGCTGTACTCAATCTTTTCCTTTTAATAGTAAATTAGCTAAGTAATTATTAGTTTGCTAATCCCTATTGAATGACTCTACTGATGACAGAACTATAACTCGTCAGTTTTTTAATGTTATATCACAAAGCAACTATTTGGAAAGTGTGTATTTTAAAAAGAGTAACAATCAAATGCAGCTTTTTAATTTTTTCTTATATTTATATTTTATTGGCCACTGCTATTTTTAATATGGTTTTATCACATACTTTATTTTTAGTACTTGTTTTTTGGCCCATTAACTCTCCATTTTTCAGCAGAGTTGCTGACAAAGGAATATTTTTCTACTTTGCATATTTTGCTGGTGATTCTTGACTTTCATTGGACTTATTAATTTGACACTTATCAATGATGTTTGGAATTCGTTTGTGTACATTGCATCGGCATCTGCTGCAACAACATATTGGTTCAAAAATCTTTTATCTGCTTCCACAAAAATTTTGTACTAAGGTATGTTTAATATTGAAATTGAGTATTTTAAAAGAATATTGATATTTTCAAGGTAAAACATTTAGGTTGGGTATGTTTTTCTTGCACAGTCAAAATAAAGTGGAAAATTTGATACTTGTATTTATTTTTAAAAAATTGTCTTAACAATTTTTAACACAATGGATGCCATTCTGAAATGAAAGAGCATTTAATTGCTAACCCCCAAAGTCATTAGCTCTGATGAGTATCTAACTAGTTATGGAAAGTATATGTAACTCATTAACATGCGACCACATAATTCTTTCCCATGTACAAGTTCCAAAAAGTATGAAACCCACTAACTCTATCTGTCTATGGGATGTGTAACATAATGTATTTCATTAACATTAAGACAACTTTTAATCAAGCAGTACCTTTAGTATTTACTATTATCAATGTGTAAAGGAGGCCTACAAATACATCTTTTCACCTTTTTTGCCACACTTATTTATATTGTATTTGTAAACAATAATATTTGGCAGTGGTACATAACTGTTGGAGAACTATGTCTTTTTAATATATTTTTTGTTGGATAAACATATTAGTCTAGGTGCTATAAACTATAATGATGCAACACAGCTTACTAGTACTAGAGTTTCTGTTTTTGTATACGAGTGTGTAGTTTTTAAAATTCTACAAAACAATTAAGTCTAAGATTGAGGTGATGCAACCATGAGTTAGAAGCAGCACACAGATTTTCTGTTTAAGTAGGTTATCACTGTCGTGACTTTACCATCTGATTTCAAAGATAAGGTGTTTTCACTCCGTTTAGGAAAGACGCTTCACTACAATTGACTTAATGTTTCCTTCAGTTTAATTCTAGTTAAAATCTCTCAGTATTCGTAAAAGGATTTGGATTTTCATTTTGCATTCATGTGACTTGTTTCTTTCATCTGGGGAATTCTTGATAGGATAAATGTTTTAAAAACCTTTGTAAATTTCTAAAAAGAGCTTTTTTGAAAGTGAAATGTTATAAAAAAAAAAAGAAAACAATGGCCAGTGGATGATTACACTATAAGATACTTTACCTGTGGTTTAAGTATGTTTAAATAGTCATAAGGCCTTTGTGTAAACATGAATGAGCTAGATTTGGATGCTATGGATGGTTGTGATGGTGGCTTGCACAAAAGTATTAAGATAGCTCCTGTCAGAGCTAAGAAAATGGTCAAGGTAAACAAATAAACACTAACAATTAGGTCTTGTGTTTAACCACCAAATTGGGGTTGTTCCTGCTTGCAGTCCTCAAATAGCTTATGATAAAATACCTTGTAATTGTAACTGGCTTGAAAATTTAACCTACAATATCGTGTAAGAATTATTAGACATGTTAAAAATTGTCTGTAATGCACTTGTATAATGCTGTGTCGTAAATACATTTTTATTTATTTTATAACTTAATATAAGTATTATAAGGAGAAATTTTATAAACTCAATTTACTTGATCTCCTTCTCTTGTTTTTGTTGTTTTAAAAAAAAAACATACCTTTTTTGTGTGTGACAAAAACCATAAATAATGAAGCTGAAACTATCAAATATCAATCCTAACTTCTTGTTAACTTAAGTTGAATACTTATACTATCTCTGTTTTCAGGTTGATGAAGAGGTGAAAAAGCTTCTAGATCTTAAAAAACAATTAGGTGATGATGGCCCTAAAAAGTTTACTCTTAAAACTCCCAAGGTGAGGATTTAATAATGATATTTTTATAGATGTTAGTATAAACATCTAAAAAAAAAACTTTAGTATTCATAAATACAATCTCATCATTTAATTTAACTCAAAATCGGATAAAAAAAACCCCAGAAATCTATTACGCAGTTTAACTGTATTATTGGAAGATATATAATTACTATTTTCCCATTAGTGAAAAATCAGAATATACTTTTTGGCATCAGTTTGAAGATTTAACCTTTTAAAATTTTCATTTAACAATTGGAATTTATCATTTGTAGGGTACTAGGGATTTTTCACCTGAGCAAATGGCCATTCGAGAAGGTGTATTCAATAAAATAATTGAATGTTTTAAACGCCATGGTGCTGAGACCATTGACACGCCTGTCTTTGAATTAAAGGTTTGACTCATTTCTTTCTTTACCTTTTTTTTAAAGTCTGGTAAATGTAATGTAGTTAATGATATATTAAAAGTCGCTTTACCAAAATATTCAAAAGCAAATATTTCTGCCTGTCTAGGAAACACTTACAGGCAAATATGGTGAGGATTCCAAATTGATTTATGATTTGGCTGACCAGGGTGGAGAATTGTTGTCACTCAGATATGATTTAACTGTAAGTAAAAAGTATTATTAAATATGTGCATTACCAGTGCCAAAGATGTATTAGTTTGCCTGTAAAATAATTTAAATTTAAAAAAAAAAATGTATCGCAGTATATGGTGTGGTTGGATCACTATGCTCCACAAGGGGTCCACAGGAATAATGATGATGTTGACAGAGTGCATTACATGTTTTTAATTAAAATTATGTATATTTTATAAGTAATTTCTAATACACTTGAAAAAATTATAATGCAACTCATTTAACTCCAGGTACCTTTTGCTCGTTATCTTGCCATGAACAAAGTGACCAACATTAAACGCTACCACATAGCAAAAGTATATCGAAGAGATAACCCTGCCATGAATAGAGGGAGATTTAGGGAATTTTACCAATGTGTAAGTTATTTACAAGTATAGCCAAAAGTTGTTTTATTTCACTCATGCTAACAGAATTACCATTTTGTTGACATTTGGCTTAGTTTGCTTCTTATAGCCAGAAATGTCTATGATATTCGCTTTTGTCAGGAAATGAATGTGTTAAAACTGATATTAAAAAACTGCAATATAATTGTGTATCAAAATTCTTTAGTTATACAAAACAATTTGTCATGTGTAGAACCTTCTAACACATTTTTAAAAAAATATTTCAGGACTTCGATATAGCTGGTCAGTATGATTTGATGTTACCTGATGCAGAGTGTATAAAAATTGTAGTAGAGATTCTTTCAAGTCTTGATGTTGGAGACTTTCTTATTAAGGTTTGTTGTTTCTAGTCTAAACCCCAATTATGAAAACTCATTTGTCATGTTTTTAAATATCCCATAAGTGAAGAAACAAGTTTTTTTTTTAAATGGTTACAATAAAGACAGTGTTCTCTTAATGTTCCGAAACATTTTTTAAAATGTTAATTGACTTGTGTCAAAAAATGTTTTATATCAATTGACATTTGTTGATGTTTTGATTTTAGGTGAACCACAGAAAATTGCTGGATGGTATGTTTGCTGCATGTGGGGTCCCAGATGATAAATTCAGGACAATTTGTTCCTCTGTAGATAAACTAGACAAGGTAGGAGTGACTGGAACTCAATGTAACAAGTTCAATGTTTTAGATGGCATTTTATTATAATTTTTAAATATTGTATGGTGTACTTTTTAACAGATTGGTTTGGTCTATATATTTTTTAGTCGTGTTTCTCATGTTAAAGTGCTGAACTTTATTTTAGAAGAATGCTACTGTAAAAAAATATAGATCAGAGTAAATATTATTTATTAAGTTCCAAGTATTTATTTCATTGTCTGTGTTTATCCTTACAAGTCCCCACCCCTCACCATTTCAGGTCGCGAAAATTCATTATAGTTTTTGTTGTATTTATTTACTGAAGTTACTAATTTTAACTCACTACATTAATCTCTCTCAATTTGAAAATGGCCCCAATTTTTAAAGGTGTAAAAAAAGAAAGAAAAGGAAATGAGATAACATGACAGATGGTGAATCTTTTTAGGCCCTTTAACTGTGTCATGATTTCTATGTAAACAGTGAGAAAGATAAGATACTGAAGCAGTTTGTGTGTTTTATCAGAAGCTAACCTTCTCTTAGTTTTTGTTCTATCAAGTCAAAAAATATAATTTATTTTTGTAATGGGGCCAAGTCTAATAAAGTAAACTTTTAAATATGTATATTTATTTATAAGGCTAATTATTTTGTATTTTATCTTGGCATAATAAACTTCCCTAGTGCATCATTGGAAAGAAAAATACACATTTTACAAATTGTTTATGACTAACAACCGTTTACAAAATAATATTTGTTAACATTATCAGACTTTTTGGGATGATGTACGTCATGAAATGGTTGAAGAAAAAGGTTTGGATCCAAAATCAGCTGATATGATTGGAGACTATGTGAGATACAAAGGTTTGTATGTATGCCATAGCAGGTTACTTTACTACAATGTTAGCTGTTAAGATATTTTTATTAGTAGCATTTGGTTGTAAATGCTAGTTGAAGGCTATGTATTTTATTACATTTATATTTTTAAAAAATTTCAAGTATGATTAAAAATAATGTTGATTTTAAGTTGGTGATAGACAAAGTAAACTTTAATCACTTTTTTATCTTTCAGGAGGAAGTGAAGAAATTTTACAGTTGTTAAAAGATGACAGTCTGAAAGCTCAAAAAAATGCAATAGAAGGATTAGAAGAGTTGAAGCTCTTGTTATCCTATTGTGAAGCTTATGGGGTCACTAACAAGGTGAAAAGTGCTTTGTTTTTACTTTTCTACTTTAAAAAAAAAACATTTATTACAAACACTTACAATTCTAGTGTAGGTATTTTACTGTGCTGATTCAAAATTGATGTCATTTCTATACTCCATTAGGTTGTGTTTGATATGAGTCTTGCAAGAGGGCTGGATTATTACACTGGGGTTATCTATGAAGCTATTTTAATAGGTGAGTTACCAAAAGAAATTTGCATGTGTAATGTAACCAAAGCTCAATATAAATTTCCAGTATTTAACTAGTTTTTAGCTATATTTTTAAAACAAAATTTACCATTTCTGTGTATATATATAATGCTTACTGTATCTGTAAAGCTGGTTTGCAATGTTTGAAAAAATATTTTTCTTTTTTCCTGTAATCGCTTTTTTCTTATTAGCATATATAAAATGTATGAATTTTTTTAACACTATACAATTATTGCTTATATGTTGCTGCTTTTCACACTTTATAACGCTTTTTAACACTTTTGAGGCAAGAAAAATAAACTGGCCGAACTCTCTACAGGTCACACAAACAATGTGAGTGACAGTGACGACTCTGTGGGGGTGGGGAGTGTAGCAGGAGGTGGGCGCTATGATGGACTGGTCGGGATGTTTGATGGCAAGGGGAGGAAAGTTCCCTGTGTAGGAGTCAGTATTGGGATAGAGCGTCTCTTCTCCATCATGGAGGCTAAGGCATTGGTAAGTGATCAAACCAGATGTTTTTATTAACTTGAAAAAAAGGAGAGTTATCTATAGCAGTGTAAACAAACAGGTGTTAGCCTTTTCATTGTGGTGCACTTTATATTGCTTTTATTGTTGGAATGTCACACTATATTGCTAATTTAAAATAGCTACAAGGACATTTTATGGCTTCCATTACTGAATAAGCTGTAGATTATACAGTGTGATTCTAGCTGAACCTATGGGAAGATTTTCATACTGCCTTTTTGGGTGTCCTATAAAATACTGAAAATTAAATAAATATGTATTTTAAATTTTATTACATAGTTGACAACATTGTATTACTTTATTTAAGGCTGCACAGAAGAAAATCCGCACAACAGAAACAGAAGTGTATGTGATTGCCGCTCAGAAAAACATGGTGGAAGAGAGGTTAAAACTAGTAAACACATTCTGGGATGCTGATATTAAAGTAAGCATTATCAAGTGTGTTATATATTTTTTAAATGAAAAAAAATGCATGACTTTTTGTGAATTAATGAATACTTTTCAGTGTCTTTGTTTTGCACATTTACTGAAAAAGGTATATTTTAAGATAAGGAATTTAGAATTCACTTAAAATATAAATTACTATATAACGAAAATTAATTATTCTGTTAGTACCAAATACAAAATAAATGTAACACAAACTATTAAACATTATTTTAAACTATCATTAACAAATAGCAATCTATGTGCAAATAATACTAGTTGCACCTGTTGAATAAACATTACATTTGTCTTGTTGACAACAGACCGAGCAGTCGTACAAGAAAAATACAAAGATGCTCAATGAATTCCAATACTGTGAACAAGCAGGCATCCCACTAGCAGTGATCATAGGGCAGTCAGAAATTGAAGCTGGTGTGGTCAAGCTGAAAACTATTGGCTCCAGGGAGGAGGTCAGTTTTAGAATCTTTATCTTTTTTTTAAATCAGGCATGTTTTTCTATTTAAATATGGCATTTGAATTTTCTTTTTATAACTTGGTTCTAATAGCATTTAAATGTAAAATTGTTTTTTTTTTAAATTTTGTGAAACCATGAATGATGAATATTTTCTTGGCTTGTTTATTCACAAACCCACTTACCTCCCCTATCTTAAAGATTTGACTTGCCGATTCCTCACTTATGATACAGAAATTTACTATATTTATTTTTTTTTTAAATTGAAGACAAAATAAGTTGATCTGGAATTTCACAACCTTATATATTTCATAATTTTATTTATTTTACATTAGGTTCAA